TGTACAAGTTTGGAGAGCCTCCAGCATGAGGACGGATCAACAGACTTCTCCGACGAGGAGACCCTAGAGGACGGACCTCGAACTCTAAACCGGACTCCGGACCGGAAGAACCGTCCTATCTCCATATATACCCCGGGCACCGCCGAGGACGATTCACCGGAGAATAACCGATCTCCTGGGACGACCTCCGACTGGTCGAGGTCAAACACCTCCGATTCTGGAGACTCTCCAGGGTCATATAGAACCTCAACAATGCCTCCACCACCCCCACCTCAGTCTAAGAAACCGTCATTATGTAAGTTTGCATTTTTAAAGAAATTATCTGATAACTAAGTGTCTGCTTGATTCAAGGCTTATTCATAAAGGAACCTATAAATCACCCTACACTCTAATCCAACTATCTGATGTCTTTAGCCTTTGGTAATTTAAACCAGAATTCTGCAAGATTAAAAGTATCAAATTTTTACAAAAATATAGGGATTAGAGTTTGAGGCGAGTATTCAGTTTTTTGTTTAATTTTTGCCAGTTAAAGTTCTAAACACTTGTTTTTGTTGATATTTGATATATTTGAAGCTTATTAGTTGATCTTTAAATCCTTATCTGTTAATCTGACAGCAGCCTGCCTTGTTGCCTAGTTGTGAATTATGGCTTGGGGTGATATCTGCCTAGATCTTGGGTTAGATCTAAGTAGGGGTCCTATATATCCTATATATGCGTCCTACGCTTAAATTTGGAGGATTATTCTATCCAAAAAAGTCATGCTTGAAACAAATATCTATTTTGAATATTGTGTTGTTTATAACTATTATTTTAAGCAGACCCAGTTTAGAGTTTTTAAAGATATATTGCATTAACCTTCGTGTGTCAACCATTTGGCATTTAGACCACAGACATTCTTTACATTCATTCAGATAAATATTTAGTTTAAACATTCCAGTTTACAGTTTTTACTTTTATTGAACAAGCATTAAATAAATAAATTCCTGTAAACATTTGTTACATTCATTGTAGCAAACATTTTTTAAACATTACCTAACAAAGAAGCAAATAATAAATAATTATATTTCAATAAAGTAAAATTTAGAAAATTTAAATGTGGGTCTGCTAAATCAACTTTCAATGGAAAATCAACGTAAATTTGAATAATCTTTATTTGGCAAAGTTTACAACCTTAAAGGGTTCTTTTACAAAAGAAAACTTAAAATTCCGTTGATATTCCCTTTAAGCCATGTTTTAAGCTTGGTTGTGACGTCTGTGTATAGTTTCAGGTTCGAATCTCGCCAACCATATTGTTGGAAGTCTAAAGAAGGGAAAATCCGCGAATTCGATCCCGCCTTCAAACTACGCAACTTTACCCATCCACCCGAGCAAACTTGATCCTAACTCACCCTCACCCGCCCTCTCCTTGCCCCCAGTTCATAAACGGTCACCCAGCACAGACTCGGGCAACGCAGGGTCACGGTCAACCACCCCAGTTTCTTATAGTATAGGTAGGAGGACCGTTTTTTCTTTGAAGGAATAAAATTTTATCTGTACAAGCTTGGAGTAACATCTGGAGAAATATTAATTTTATCTGTACAAGTTTGGAGTAACATCTGGAGAAATATTTGAATTTTATCTGTTCAAGTTTTGAGTAACATCTGGACAAATATTTGAAAAAAGTTTATTTGAATGACTGGTCTTTAAAACTTTTAAAATTTAATATTTTGCAGAAATTGTTTAATAAAACTCTTAAAGATTTTTCTATTTCAATTATTTCTTTTTAACATTTCATCTTTTTGAAACTAAAATCAATTTTCCTTGTGCAAAATTGTGCGGTTGCCACATGTTTTCTTAATTCTAAAGAACTGCGCATACAAATTCAATCTAGCAAATACTCAGTTTTGGACTTAATGGGCGCGTCAGCAAATTGTTTAATTGAAGGGCGTTTGTATTAAATTCAAATATTATATACTTTAAAGGAGATAATGGTTTGGTGTATGTGAATTTATATTTATTATAAAACTGGTTGTTCTAACAATATTTGCGATGAGTCCCATTAAATCATTCAACTATTTTTGTGTGGGATTGCCTTTGCCTTTTAGGACTTCACGTCCATTCTTTGTTATAGCTTTCATAGAGCATACACTTGTGTGTATAAAAACCCTTGGAATTAACCCTAAAAACTCCACTCGATATTTGAACAACAACCCCCCCCCCCCCTATTATCACGCCTCTCGTATTCATATTTTACCCTCTAAATCGTTTTTAACGCTATCACCCAAGATTTATAGCTGTCAAAATTAGATTTACTGTCTGCAAAAAGTCCCATAAGTGTATTTTTTTGGTCCACGTCTACCCTTCTTCAGCGTTATCGATTTCATGCAAAAACTATTTCACATAATATCAATTTTCCGTAAACACCTTTTTGTATGTTTTAATGCCGACGAATGATACGATAAATAATATTCTAACAAAATCAGAGCAAAAAGCGTATATATGATATATGTCTTGTTAAACTCCATATTTATATTAGATTGTCCCAAAATGAGACACATTGACAATTTCATGTTGAGAGGTTTTTCACTAAATTTTTATTGTTCGTTAAATTAATATCATTTTTCACTCGGTTGCTCAATTTTCAACCATTTTTTTCTTTATTGTCACCGTGTCCAAATTTCTGATAATTTTCTAAATATAATAGACCTGAAAAATTGTGGGAACCTTTTAAATTTCGTTTAAAGCAAACAATGTGGTTTTCAGCCCCCCCCCCCCCCTCCCTCATTTTCCAATACCCTTCGGTGTCCAGTTGATAAAAGCTTGGTTTTTTATTTTTAAATTATACATTTTCATGAATAAATATGAAAATGACAATAATGATTACAGCGATACTAATGATAATGTTTAGTAGGTGGCAAGCACCTGATATCCCCCCGGGGAAAGATGATGCACACCCCCATGAAGAGCTTCATCGAGGAGAGGAGTCCCATCTCCACCCCCAACATCAAGCTCAACAACGGGCAGTCAACGGAGTCATTAGAATCATTGTCAGACGAACTTTCAACCACCATCCAGTCAAATACTAAGAGTAACCGTAGGGTAAGTTTTAAAACATTTCTCCAAAACCTTGTTTGAGATTTTGTAACAAAATAATTAACGGATACACTTTGATTGACCGACCTAAAGATAGGATGAATAGACCGGATGGATAGATTGATGGAAAGGTTGATTGATGGATTGATGGATTGAAAAATATAATGATCTGCTACCGCAGCCTCAAAGGTTTCCTAAAAGATTTACGATCTACCGAAAGTGGTAAAAACTGACCAAAATTAACCTATGCATTGCTTTTTTAACCAAATGCATTTTTCTAACCTTCCTTAATTTAAAAAGTGTTTAACCCTTTCCCCGGGAGTCTTTTTACGACAGACATTTGCATAATTAAGCATTTAAAATAAAAAGAGTTTGAAGAAAATAATTCTAAAATCTGAAAATGTCCCAAGTTTCCAACGTCCTTTTCCATCCTTGAAATAAGGGATTAGAAATCTCAGATGTTTCTTTAAATTTGATTTTATTTACCTGAGGGAGTTGACCTGATTTTTTTCTATTGAGTTTAATACTTTTGTCGGCTGTCCCCCCAAGGGGGAGGGGGGGGGGTCTAAATGATATTGTCGGTATTTTGAATAGGTTAAGCTGCAGATATTTCATGGGTTGCTGGATCAACAAATTTGTTCATCTCCCGGGTCGTACTTTCAAATCCGCAAAACATTTTCAATTTTTTCTTTAATTTAAAAAACTAAATTTAAAATTTTATTGTTATTTATTTATTTTTTTTTTTTTTTTTTGACCGGATTTCTATTTTGAATTCGTCACGCTGATTTCTTGCCTTGCCCCGATTGTGGCGTTAAGATTACTCTGTAAAATTGGTGATTTGAAAAGGAGCAACGAGATGCAGTTCCTCGCTTCCTCGCGGTAAAACTGTTTCCGTTTCAGAAGATCTATTTTTCCTCCATTTTGCAGGAATCGGCTTGGTGTAATCAATCATCTGGTCATTTTTATATTCAATATTGTCGGCTTTCCTTAAACTATAACTTGTACAACTGCAGTTAACCTCTCTAAAAGTAAATATGCCAGAGCACCCCATCGGAAGCAATATTCGGGAATCCTACTGCGAAATTGTGTTCGCCATATTTTGATCTTTAATAAAGATGTTAATCCTTTAAATTTGCAGGATTTATCAGCTTTTTCTTGGCGGATTTATCCACAGTGTTTGACAGATTTATTAAGTTTTTGAGATTTTGATTTGATAAAAGGTCCATTACTCTGTCAAATTTAGGAGGCTTTGAGAATATTTGCAAAATTTGATTTCAGATAAGACATCTTTTAAGAGTTGAAACGACTTAATCATTGTCGATTAAAATGCAAATGAAAAGTGCTCGCGGCCCAGTAGCCGTTTGAATTAGAGAAAAAAAGCACTTTAAACGGCCGCCCAGTTTATCTTTTTAATCCAAGACAACGTCGTAAACTTGAAAATTAGAATTACAGCCAAAAGGGGTCTCAGCTCAGACCAGATCTCCTAAAGGGAAAAAATAAAAATATATATTATTTTTAGAACATATCATTTCCAAGCTGAGTCTGATTCTGATCGTGAAGAATGGATGTCCGTCCTCCTCAACTCCAAGGAGAAGTCCTTGAACCGAGCCTTCGAGGACAACGGAAGGACGGGGGAGAACCAGGGCCTTGTGGAGTTCCAGAGAACCCTCGTCAACTATATCCGGTCCATCCCGTCCAACCAAACCTGCTGTGACTGCGGGAGCGGGAACGATGTGACCTGGCTCTCCACAAACTTCGGGATAATTGTGTGTATCGAGTGCTCCGGAATACATCGGGAGATGGGAGTTCATATATCTAAGATTCAGTCCCTCACCCTGGACCATATTGGGACGAGTCAGCTCCTCGTGGCCAGGATGTCGTCCAATCAGTCCTTCAATAAAGTGATGGAGTCCCGGACGAGTAAGAAGTTAAAACCGACAAGTACAATGTAAGCAATCCATCATCAAGTTTATTCCTCTATATCTATTTATCTATTTATCTATCTATCTATCTATCTATCTATCTATCTATCTATCTATTTATCTATCTATCTATCTATCTATCTATCTATCTATCTATCTATCTATCTATCTATCTATCTATCTATTTGTCTATCTATCTATCTATCTATCTATCTATCTATCTATCTATCTATCTATCTATCTATCTATCTATCTATCTATCTATCTATCTATCGCTCTATCCCTGTTTAAATCTATCTATCTATCTATCTATCTATCTATCTATCTATCTATCTATCTATCTATCTATCTATCTATCTATCTATCTATCTATCTATCTATCTATCTATCTATCTATCTATCTATCTATCTATCTATCTATCTATCTATCTATCTATCTATCTATCTATCTATCTATCTATCTATCTATCTATCTATCTATCTATCTATCTATCTATCTATCTATNTTTTTTTTAGGAATTTTCCGAGACCTTCCTTCACCTAGCAATATCCCAGGAAACTGGGTCTTCCCTCCACATAGTTGATTTTATAGTACAAAATTCAAGCAGTTTAGATAGGTAATTTTATAGTACAAAATTCAAGCAGTTTAGATAGGTAATTTTACCGTACAAAATTCAACCAGTTTAGATAGGTAATTTTATAGTACAAAATTCAACCAGTTTAGATACGTAATTTTATAGTACAAAATTCAACCTGTTTAGATAGGTAGTTTTCCAAACACTGTTAGTTAAGATAATTATTCTTTTGTTTCCTATTTATTTTTGTGAAATCATTTCTTTTTGTGACTTTTAAGTTTATTTTTATTTTAGGAAAACAAAAGAAGGGAACACCCCTTTGCACTACTGCGTGATACAGAACCAGCCCGAGGCCATGAGGTTACTCTTGAGGTCGGGGGCTGCTGCTGACCTCCCAAATAACAATGGAAAAACTCCTTTAAGCATTGCCAGAGAGCGAGGCTATAAACTCTGCGAAGAATTGGTGAGAAATCATAAAAAGAAAGATTTATACCTAAACAAAAAAATGGAGCAACGTCTCCCCCCCCCCCTACCTGTCCTAAATTTAAGGTTGCCTTTAACAAGCATACTATAATGATAAATTAAACATATTAAAACAAACAAATGCCTTGACAAAAAATGCGCAAAACCTAAGCCTGACTGACAAACCAAAGGCCAAGAATCGTAATTCAAACGCTCGCGCGCCACTTTTTGCAGGTTATAATACAAACTTTGAGGTATGGCGGAGCTTTTTATTTTAATTGGCCTTCATCGTGGTTAAAACCAGGGGAGGTTATACTCTAAACAATCTTGACTATTGTTTAAAACAGTAGGATGCAAAATAAACTTACTTGAGCTAAGCATAGGAATAAACTTGATCTTGATTTATCATATATCAAATATGAAACAATAGGNCATCTGGAGAAATATTAATTTTATCTGTACAAGTTTGGAGTAACATCTGGAGAAATATTAAAATTTTATCTGTACAAGTTTGGAGTAACATCTGGAGAAATATTAATTTTATCTGTACAAGTTTGGAGTAACATCTGGAGAAATATTAATTTTTTGGTTTATCGTGCTGTATAAGGATGTATTTCTATGTACCCTTGCCTATGTTTGTGTTCGTCTGGTTATCTGTCTGTCCGTCTGTAAACAAGGCTGTTGCATTACACTTGTGTGCTTTGTAAACAGTTGTAGTTCTAACAAACATACATCTGTATAAACATGTAAACATTATCAGCAGTGCAAATCTACTTATATAGTAAAAGCGTATATCATGTCAATAAAAATAATAATAATGATAATAATAGTAATAATAATGATAATCCTACCAACCCTACCCATGAAGACAGGATGTGCCCCTAACTACCAATTAAAGCACATTAACACAACCATACGGGGGTTTTGTGCTCTAATCCTTCAACATGTGTGCTGTGAAGCTCCTCCCCATCCCCCTGGGGGTTTAGGGAGAAAAATGAACATGTCGGATGTTAAAAAGGTGTAAATTCCTGGAACAAGAACGCTTTTTAGACCAACAATGGAACCCATCTTAACACAGCAAGAGCGGACAAACACTAATCCCTACGGACAAACATACACCCAAAGCACTAACATCCCGTGATCGGATTCAAAGTTTTCAAATTTTCATGTTTCCTTGAGAAAAACTGCCAAAGAACCTGGATTTTTTACCACAGGGTTTCCTCAAAGCCCACAATTACAGTGATTTGGGACAAGACATGTGTGAGACAAGACATGTGTGTGGGACAAGACATGTGTGTGGGACAAGACGTGTGTGAGACAAGAAATGTGTGTGGGACAAGATATGTGAGACAAGGCACGTGTTTGGGACAAGACATTTGTGTGAGACAAGGCATGTGTGTGGGACAAGACATGTGTGTGGGAAAAGATTGTGTGGGACAAGGCATGTGTGTGGGACAAGACATGTGTGTGGGACAAGACATATGTGTGTGGGACAAGATATGTGAGACAAGGCACGTGTTTGGGACAAGACATGTGTGTGAGACAAGGCATGTGTGTGGAACAAGACATGTGTGTGGGAAAAGACATGTGTGTGGGACAAGATATGTATATGGGACAAGGCATGTGTGTGGGAAAAAAACATGTGTGTGGTACAAGACATGTTTGTGGGTCAAGACATGCGTGTGGGACAAGACATGTGTGTGGGACAAGGCATGTGTTTGGGATAAGACATGTATGAGGGACAAGATATGTGTGTGAGACAAGACATATGTTTGGGACAAGATATGTGTGTGGCACAATATATGGGTGTGGGACAAAGCATGTGTGCGGGACAAGACATGTGTGTTGGACAATGCTTATGTGGGACAAGATATGTATATGATGGGACTAAAAATTTATGTGGGACATAGCCACATTTTTGGGACAAGGTACGTGTGTGGGACAAGGAATGGCACAGAAACAGGATGGAAATGTGACCGTAAATGAGTCACGGAAGTTTGTTGTAAGATTTTGATTCCATTGGAGACCTCCGGATGGAATTCATTTTCACTGGAGGGGTTTGAAAAAATGCTTTTTACAATTTAAAACTTTACGCAGGGTCATTTATAATTAATTTATAGTTCCACTGGAGGGATTTAAATATCTTTCCAGGGGGTTTATAAACCTTTTACCAATAGTTAAAAAAATCGAAAAATGTTCTTAATCTTTGATTTTCTAACTTTAAAAAAATGGTGCATTTTTTCTTTTTAAACTATATCTAATTGGCCATTAACATGAAACAGACTATATAAGGACATCTTAAATCTACAAGATCATTGGTTAGTATAATATTGGTTAAAATTTCAGGAAGTAATACAACGTTTTCAATATTAGTCTTTAAATTAGTTTTGCCCTTTTGGAAATATGCGTAGGTCGAAGGGTTAACTGTATACACGTAAATGTACGCAATTTTACGCAATTAACTATGTAGAACATGAACATGACCGATCATTTAACTCAATATCAGTGCAACATTCATTTTTGTGGCGTAAATCACGCATGTATGAGCATTAAAGCATTAACAAAAACACTAATCTTATATTATCACCGCCCATTCTTTCAGATTTAAAGAAAAAGCGTTTTGAATAAATTGTTATAAAGATAAAAAGTTGTGAGAAAATTGTTCACACTTCCCTTTAAAAATATATAATTTTCAAGTTTTAAATATTTAGATAAAATTGGATAAAATTGGAATATTCAAATTGAAGTTTTTCTAAGTTTTAAACTCAAACATCAAAGGTGGGAAAATTGGAGGGAAAAGTGAAATTCAAAAAAGGACAACGTGTTATAATGTATGTACAATATACTACACATGTACTTCGCGCACATTTTCTTGTTTCAATTTTAGCTTTAAACTGTTGCCATTTTATTCATCGTTCTCCTATAAAAAAAGTTGTCGGGTATGTTCCGATTTTGATTAGTGCATTTTTTAAATAATAAATGTCGACTTTTTTTTCCAGGCCATATTTTTCAACCTAGACCATATAACATTGGGCCATGTGAGTTTCCACAATATATTTGGGACCGATCAATTCATCAGTTTTGACGTTTATTTTACACACAAACAAATAAACAAACAAATAGACAAGCATGTACACCTATATATATATATATATATTCATAAATATATATAGATATATCTGTTGATCGATTGAGCCTAAACATTTTTTGGACTGTCTGTTGATCACCCAAATAGAATGCTATGATAAGTTGCATCGATTTTCAAGACTGTGTTGACTTTTAAATGTTTCGACCATAGTTTCAATGCAATATGCAATTTGATTTTGCCCATCGTTCTTTCCTGAAAACAATTTTTGTTGTAAAAAAGAGAATTTTTCATTAAGTAAAGTAAAAGTAAAATTAAAGTAAAATTAAAGAAAGTAAAAAAAAACTACTCCAGAGGAATAAAAAAAAATATTCAAGAAATATTTTTCATTGAGCAACAGGAGCACATTAATCCCACTAGACATGGGGTATAGTTTATTTAGTGTAGTATCCCGATTTTACTTGTAAAGTCTGTCATTTACAGTTTACTCTAGCTGCTCAAAGGTTGGTCCGGTACTGAACAGGAGATTCCAGTGATAGTATCCAAATTCAGTGGAAACCAAAAAAATGTGAAAAAGAAAGACTTTATTTATGAGTTTAAATATAGTCCAATGAACATGAGATATACAACAATAGTGCAGTGTATTCAGACCCATTTCATTTTTATAATTGACTCAAGAAGCAAAGTTTTGTAACAACATAAAAACACTTTCTTTCAGAGTTTTCTGGTTCTCACTGAACCTCGAAGAAGAATTAAACAACCCTAATCCCTCTCTCAGTATTCTTGAAGTGTGAGATAGAAAACTTAGGATCTCTCAGCTCATATTAAGAGGATTTTTTTTTAAGGGGAGGTAGTTTTAACAACAGATTTTTCTAAGATGAACGAGAGAGGTCCTCTTGAATAACTTTGTTGAATAGTTTCTCCACTATACTTGTATTATCTTCTTTGTATTAGGTAACGCGTTAATTTGTTGTATACAGAATTTACAAAATATATTTTTTTTCAAAGCTTTTCACGAATTGACATTCAGAATGGAGACTTGGCTACAAAGTAACTCAACGAGATCATCAACGATGAAAAAAATTAGATATATGCAAACTATTTCGTGATCTCGCAGATCTTCTAGAAGTTAACGATATGCATATTATAAATTTAAAACTTTTTTTCTTCACTTTAAAAAAGGACTTATGATATGGTTGTAAATAATTTAGAAAATTTTAAAGTTTTTTAATAATTATTCAAAGATTCATAATTAAAAAGTAAATGTTTAAATTTTCTGGAATATTTTTAAAGAATTAGATCAAAACAAGATCCTTTCCCCTGATTCTTTTGGGCAAAAACATTTCAAAAGCGTCAAAATCTTTAAAATTTCGTTAATTAATTTTAATTCAATTTGAATCAAATTTGAAAAATTAAACCACAACTCATTTTGTGATTAGAGTAAACGATTTAGAATGTTTTTGACATGCAGAAAAACCTGGAAAATATCCAGCAAAAGAAAATGGAATTAAAACTGTTTAAAACTTTGATGAACAAATTAGTTAACAACAAGTTCTATTTTATGTGTAAAATCTATTAAATAATTCAAAATTTGCAGATTTCCTTGGACATGTGTGT